CCTCGTGTGCACACTGGTAGAACTTAGAGGGAACAAGGAGACATGTGTGTGTGTGTGTGTGTGTGTGTGTGTGTGTGTGTGTGTGTGTGTGTGTGCAGGAAACGCCCTGAGGCAGTAAGGGTGACATGGCTCCAGTCAGAGCAAGCACAGCCAGCCTGTGTGTGGTACCTCCATGGTGTAGTTGGTGTGCTTATTGTCGAAGACCAGGGCCTCCTGGATAAGCTGGTGGTCTCCCTCCAGCTTGTCGATGTTGTTCTTGTAGTTGATGATGTTGTGCTCATACTGCTTCAGCTGGTTCATCTGGTCCTCCAGCGCCCCGGTGATCTGGATGGAGCTCCTGGCGATCTCCTGGGGAGGAGAGGACAGCGGGCTTGGCTCTGACTCTATGCCAGAGGCCACACCTACAGTAGAGGCCACGCCCATACCAGACATAACCACCATCATGGGTATTCCCAGACAGTGGCAATGGGCAGGATCTCAGGCTGAACATCATCTGTCTAGGGAATGGAATAAAAGCCAATCAAGCTGGGTGCTGGTGCCTCCCAGCCTGTAATCCTAGCTACTCAGGAGGCTGAGGTAGGAGGATCACAGTTCAAAGACAGCCAGGTCAGGAAAGTCTGTGAGACTCTTTTGCCCAATAAACCACAAAAGTCTAGAAGTAGAGCTGTGGCTCAAGTGGTAGAGCTCTAGTCTTGAGCCCCAAACAAAAAAAGCCAATCAAGACCCAAAGCAGAGAGAAATGTCCTGCCTGCTTTCTTGAAGGGCAGAAATCACCCTCACATCCCAGCTGCCCTGCTCCCTGTGCACGGGGAGGCCAGGGCAGGATGGCAGAACCGAACTGGCAGAGAGACATGAACAGGACGGCTGCACCTCCCCTGCTGTGAGGGCTCACTCCTAAATTTTGGTGTTCTCCCCTTAAGGAAAAAGTGAGTATTTTTTATCATCACAAGGGAGACGGCAAGAGAAATATCTCCTGGTTGGTGTCAGTGATAAAGAGAACCCAGACCTCAGAGCCACTCCCAGCGCTGCTCTGTTAAGAATGTCCTAGAAATGTGTAGCACACATGAAGTCTTTGCCTATCCTCAGGGATAAATAGCTTAAAGTCCAGCTCCCGCAGAGGCCAAAACATTGACCAAGAGCCTTGTCATTGCTTATGACAATGGCAAAAACCCTCCTTGCCCCGCGGTGGCGTGCAAAGCACCAGCTTTGAAATCCCTGGAACTCCAGGGCGGCGACCCCTACCTCCATCTTGTTCTGGATCCAGGGTCCGATGGCGTTGGCCTGGGCAGCGAACTGGCGCCGCAGGCGCTCATTGGCATGCTGGCGAGCTAGCTCCTCCTGCAGGGACTGGTCGCGGACCGGCACCAGCTGCTTCACCTGGGCCCAAAGATGACAGGGGTGAGGGTCCAGCCTTGGGCTTACAGTCTGGGGGTGGAGGCTGGGGTGGGATTCCCACTCTAGAGGCTAGCTCTGGCTGCCTCCTAGTGCCCCCAGGGCCCAGCTGAGGGGAGGGCACACATTGGGGACTCAGGACATCGGCCGTTCTCCCTCCACTGGGAAGTCTTGCCCCGTGTCCCCATCCCCGCCCCCCCCCCCGCATCAGTGCAGATCTGTGAACTTGGGTGACTTGGAGCTAGCATCAGACCACACACGCAGGAGGTCCAGTGGCTCCCGCCCCCGGCCAGCGGGCCACAGAGCGTGACACTACCGCCAGCCCCTGCGTTCCTTGCTCTGTCCCAATGGCTCGGAGTGTTTTAATAAGGATGCTCCAATTCAAGTGTACTATCAGATGGGGTCCACAGGACACCTCTTCGTGCCCTGGCACTTCGCCCTGCCCGGTGCTGGATGAAGAAGGCAAGGCACCTGGGAATCACATTTTCATTCCCATCAGTGCCTTACATTTTAATGCTTTGCCTCAATTCTCTTTGAACTGATGGGGGAAAACATAAAAGGCTTTGAAAATCTTGTTTGTGTCATAAGTGAACCAGTCATGAAAACATTTTATTTTGAGTGTTCCTTTTGCAAAATTCCCAGTCAGCACCAGTGAAAACTCCTGTAATCCTAGCTGCTCAGGAGGCAAGATCTGGAGGATCACAGTTCAAAGTCCAAAGGACTCCAGCAAAAAGCAGGACTGAAGGCCCATGCCCCAAAAGTAAGATGAGCAAGTGTGTGCAGCTTGAGTTCAAACCCCAATACCACCAAGTGATGCCTCCCCGTTCTGCCAGAGCGGGAACTGCTTAGTACAACACCTTTCCCTTTTGACCTCCACTGAAGGGAGGTCAAAAAACCAGAGCCGACCTCAAAGCTCGCATTCAACACCTATCTACCGGTGGCATCATAACGGAAACCACAAACTTAAACTTCTCTTAATGAGACAAAGGGCTCAAATAATTCACTTTCAACGTAGTTAAGTTTCTGGACAGTTTCTCCAAATTGAAACTGTTCCTTAGATACAGTCTTATAAGCAATTTCCTGCATTTAAAACACACAGACAGTTCAGCTCACACCTGTAATTCCAACTATTCAAGAGGCTGAGATCTGAGGATTGGGATTCAAAGCCTAGCTCCGGCAGATAAATCTGTGAGATTCTTATCTCCAAAAAACCAGTTTTTGGAGGTATGACTCAAATGGTTAGAACTCCCTCCTTGAGCAAAAAAGCTAAGCAAGCATGAGAGACCCTGAGTTCAAGTCCCAGTACTGGCACAAAAGAAATTGTTTAAGGGTTACTAAACAAAAAAACAGACATACTACAGGCAAGCTGATTCCATCAAGTCAAAGTTGTTTTGTTTTTTTTTTGGGTCTGGTCGTGGGGCCTGAACTCTGGGCCTGGGCACTGTCCCTCAGCTCTTCAGCTCAAGGCTAGCACTCTACCACTTAAGCCACAGCGCCACTTCTGGCTTTTTTCTTTTTGCTTATGTGGTGCTGAGGAATCGAACCCAGGGCCTCGAGCATGCAAGGCAAGTG